GGATCAGACTGCTCCCTGGAACTCACAGGCACACTGCGAGTTGTAGCGGTATTGGAACGATCCTCGCGGGCATCTGGTTCATAACCGTAGTAGTTTGGATCATTGGTATGGGATGACGTAGATGACGAAGATGCCGGGGTAGTAGATGCCGGGGTAGTAGATTCCGGGGCAACTTGAACGATTGGGGATACAGAAGAGCGTCCATGTCCAGTGTGACTGCGATAAGAAGAGTTTGCGGTTGAAGCTATTGGCGACGATTGCAAATCCGCAATTGACTTTCCGTCTGGGTCGCTCTTGATAATTCCAGTATGAGCACTCTTGAAGGATTTGATTTGCACGGATGCCTTCAGCTTCTTGGCCTTATAAACGCTCCGAGGATCGTCCTCGTCATACCGGGATAGAGAAAGCACCATGGTGTTTGTGTTTTTTGGGATGAGGTTGTGATGATTGTCGGAGGGAAATGGAAAAGTCGGATGCAGAGGAAAAAGTGAGCGAGTGAAAAAAACATCGCCAATATATATATATGATCTGAAGATATGCATATATGCAGGAATGGCCGCGGGCTCGCTTTCGTTTCTTGGTTGGCGAGTTGAAGTCTGCACTTCTCGCGTGTGAAATCGAATGAATCAAACAAACATCAGAACTGCGGATAGATATACCGGTATATCGGATCTTTTTTTCAGAACGGATTGTGTGCAATAATAAGCACAGCCTTCTGATATTGTTGCCCTTATTCTTGCTTCTCATGTTCTGTTCCTCGACAAGCAAAGGCTTCATCTTCTTTTTCATTCTTCAACAGCTTCAGTTTCAATTTCAGGTTACCGATTCCTTTCACCTGTCCTACTCCAACCCTTCAGTTCATCATCCGTCATCTGAAGAAACATCATCTACTACCAACATGGCAGTTTCCAACGGTTCTTGGTCCGTCGGTGATGCGGATCAAGAAGAAGCGGCACGAAAAGAGTTTGAAATTTGGCCGCTTGATGAGAGCAACGTTAAACTATTGAATCAAGTTCATCCAAGAACCTATAAATCCACGGACGAACCTCCTGAAGTTTACGATTTGATTGCCATTGGAG